AAACACTAAGCAAGAATATATAAAACAGCAAGTAGTCCCAGTCTGCAAGGGGCAAGGAGATGTGAGTAGGTAGGAGACCTGGTACACACAGGCAAAGGGGTTATGGGAATGGTATTGGAGGACTATCTAAGCATGAGTCCTAGTGACAATGTTCTGGCTGGCTCTGCCCTACCAAGTGGGCATGTTGGGATACAGCTCACACCTGCTCTGCCCCCGGACAAGCAGGCCAGCCTGAATTCGACATGCACCCAGACATGCAGTCCAGGGGGTTGCGTGTGTATGGCGGGGTATCAATGTACCGCCATAGCGATGTACCGCCATAGCAATGACTTCCTGGCCTCTGTTATTGCTAAGGTGTTGGGGTAGGTGAGCTTTTAAGATGATGGGCCTGTGCACTTCTGGCTCGGCCCCTTCAGGGATGCGCACAGATACTGTATATACATGAGGGGCTATGCATCCAAACCACTCTACAGGCCTACAGGTTGTGCTACATGCAGTACGGTGGAAGTGACCCTCCTTTGCTCATCCCTCCCCATGAGGGGCACCCACAGGACATCCATTACAGAAGGAAGCAGTCAGATCACAGCCCAGGTGGTCAGAGCACCCCAGCCAGGGAGAAGGACTGCACAGTTTCCAGCCAGAGGAGCCTTCATCACACAGGGCCAGAGAAACTGCACGGCAGGAGGGAGAGGCCAGAGCTTAGGATCTACAGGGAGATATGGCACAGACAAAGTGTGGGGGCAGAAGGGGGACACTGGCACCCTGCTAGCCTGTAGTATGGCCTGTAGAAGGCCACAGGGAGGGGAAGTATCACCTCCTTAGACCTGTTCGTGATGCACCTTCTAATTCATAAAAGAGCGCGGCTGGCTTTACTTATCACTTCATTACACTGACGACTCGTGTTCATTTTGGAGTCGACTATGACTCCGAGATCCCTTTCTGATGCTGTGCTGCTTAGAAAGTCACCTCCCCCAGTCTGTAGGTGTGTTGGCGATTCTTTCCCCCTCGATGCAGCACTTTGCGCTTATTTTTGTTAAACTGCATCCTATTCTGATCTGCCCACTTTCCCAATCTGTTCAAATCTGCCTGAATCCGCTCCCTGCCCTCCAGCGTGTTTACTTTGCCCCATAATTTGGTGTCGTCCGCATATTTGGACAGAGTGCTCTCCACGCCCTCATCCAAGTCACTGATGAAGACATTGAACAGCACTGGCCCAAGGACCAAACCTTGGGGAACTCCGCTGCCCACATTTTCCAGGTTGAAAACAACCCATCCACCACCACCCTCTGGGTGCGTCCCATAAGCCAATTCTCCACCCACCTGACTGGGTAATAATCTACATCACAAGTGCTTAATTTGTTTATAAGAATGGGATGCGACACTGGATCAAAGGCCTTTTTTAAATCCATCAACCAAGCACGTGCAGTACTGACACCTAATTTTGGTGCAAACCTGGACTGGTTCTGTCCAGTTTCTGTATGGTAAAAAGCAGAGATCACCTCGAGTGACAGTTGAACACTGGAGGTAAGAATGATATTGATTGGATATGACTGAAAAGTATGTTATAGATGGATGATTGATAGCTGACAATTAGATTGTGATTGGTAAGAGTGGAGTGGTTTGGGGGCCTTAAAGAGGCTGGGTACCCCAGTCAGGGGTCTTTTTCTTTTGTCTTGGCTTTTTGCTCTGGTTCTTTCTCCACTAGGAGAGTTCCAGTTGTTCCTGTGTTGGTTTGGATCCAATCCCTGGGATCCTGCCTGACAGCTTATTGGCTCCCTGTGGCGTGCATGTGTATCTTAATGTGAGGAGCTAGTGACTTTAAATCCTGGACTCCACCTCTGCATTCCAGGGGACACATCTACACATGCATTTAAGTGTGACTAAATTTAATACGCATTAAACTAATGTGCATTGTTATTTTTGGCAGGTGTCTACATGTACAAGGACTTGGCACTAAAGTTAGTACCAAATCCCTGCAGTCCTGCCATGCATCCCTAGTGGCTGGGCAGACCTGGCACTGAAGTTAGTTTCAGTCGTGTCTACACACGTGTTAATGTGCTTAAACTAGTTGAAACTAAATTTGATACCTGCATTTGCATGCGTGATTAGCCTAAATTACCGTTTATAATGTGAATTAAGGGCACGCACACGTTGATGTGCACCCATACTGTGCATTAAATTAATCTAATGTGCATTAACGCCTCTCATATGGACACGCCCAGGGAGAAGTCCCCATAAAGTGGAGGGTGTGAGTGGGGTATATGGCAGGTATATGGTGAGCGTGAACTGCGTGTGAATTGAACGCTATCTGTTGAGCAAGGCTTCAGAGCTGACTCCCCGTTGCTTCCCTCACTATATCAGACCAATGCCCTCATCTTGAGTTCTCACCCATGGGACAGGTAATTTGTTGTTGTGTTCATGTTCTTTGTGTGAGTTCTTGTCACTGCTGCCCTGTGTTGTATTATATTGAATCTCTTTATTTTTATTACTTTTGTGTTGTTTATAGTTTTTCTTCATTATTTCTCTTTATAATAAGAGTTTCTCTTCTTGTTCACTTTAAATCTCTGCTGTAACCTATTATCTTACCATTAAATATTATTTTTCATTCATTAGCAATAAAACGCCAACCAACATGGCTTTGTTGCTGGAAGTTCTTGCCTGACTAACCTTGTCTCCTTCTATGACCAGGTGATGCATTGCCTGGACAAGGGAGATGAGGTTGATGTCATATATCTGGAGTTCAGGAAAGCCTTTGACTTAGTCTCCTACGATGTCTTTATGGTTAAGCTGGGGAACTGCGGCTTTGACCATCTCACGGTCCGATGGCTGGGGAACTGGGTCCAGGGTCGGACCCAAAGAGTACTAGTTGATTCATAGATTCATAGATTCATAGATGTTAGGGTCGGAAGGGACCTCAATAGATCATCGAGTCCGACCCCCTGCATAAGCAGGAAAGAGCGCTGGGTCTAGATGACCCCAGCTATATACTCATCTAACCTCCTCTTGAAGACCCCCAGGGTAGGGGAGAGCACCACCTCCCTTGGGAGCCCGTTCCAGACCCTGGCCACTCGAACTGTGAAGAACTTCTTCCTAATGTCCAGTCTAAATCTGCTCTCTTCTAGCTTGTGGCCATTATTTCTTGTAACCCCCGGGGGCGCCTTGGTGAATAAATACTCACCAATTCCCTTCTGTGCCCCCGTGATGAACTTATAGGGAGCCACAAGGTCGCCTCTCAACCTTCTCTTGCGGAGGCTGAAAAGGTCCAGTTCCTCTAGTCTCTCCTCGTAGGGCTTGGCCTGCAGGCCCTTAACCATACGAGTGGCCCTTCTCTCTCTGGACCCTCTCCAGGTTATCCGGATCCCTCTTGAAGTGCGGTGCCCAGAATTGCACGCAGTACTCCAACTGCGGTCTGACCAGCGCCCGATAGAGGGGAAGTATCACCTCCTTGGACCTATTCGTCATGCATCTTTTCCACTTCCGTGCCACCCAGCAGGTCATTCCCTAGGCTGTAGGTGTGATGGACATTTTTCCTCCCTAGGTGCAGCACTTTGCATTTCTCCTTGTTGAACTGCATTCTGTTGTTTTCTGCCCACTTGTCCAACCTGTCCAGGGAGCAAATCAAATGTGGCACAAGGTGACCAGTGGAGTCCCTTAGGGCTCAGTACTCGGGCCAGTACTCTTCAACATCTTCATTAATGATCTGGATTTGGGCATCAGATGTGGGCTGGCAAAGTTTGTGGATGACACTAAACTATGGGGGAAGGTGGTCGCACTGGAGGACAGGCTGGGGATACAGGCCAAGCTGGACACACTCGCAAGGTGGGTGGACCAAAACCTGATGGCATTCAATGTAGAGAAGTGCAGGGTGCTCCACCAAACCAGCATCATACACTTACAGGTGCTATGCTCACTCACACCACGACTGAAAGAGACTTGGGGGTCTTGATTGACCACAGGATGAACATGAGCCCCCAGTGCAATGCTGTAGCTGGCAAAGCAAAGCGAACTGTGGCATGCATCCACTGATGCATCTCGAGCAAAACCAGGGATGTCATCCTCCCACTTTACTCGGCCTTTGTGAGGCCACAGCTGGAGCACTGCGTCCAGTTTTGGGCCCCCCACTTCGGGAGGGACGTGGATAAGCTCGAGAGAGTCCAGAGGAGAGCCACCCACATGATCAAAGGCCAAGAGAGCAAGCCATATGAGAAGAGGCTGAGGGACATGGGACTCTTCAGCCTGGAGAAGAGAAGGCTCAGGGGGGACTTGGTGGCTGCCTATAAGTACATAAGGAGGGGGTGGGTGGTGCACCAGGATCTGGGAGCACAGCCGCTCCCCAGGGGATGACAAGGTCTAACGGCTGCGAGTTTCTGGAAGGCCGATTCAGACTGGACATCAGGAAAAACTTCCTTACAATCCAAGTGTCCGGGGTCTGGACCGGACTCGCCCCAGAGGGGGTGCAAGCACCTACTCTGGACTCATTCAAAAGGTGTTTGGATGCTCATCTTGCTGGGATCATTCGACCCCAGCTGACTTCCTGCCCTTTGGGCATCTGGCGAGGTCCCTCCCAGCCCCTAATGTCTATGAAATCTATGAAATCCTCCCCGGGCAACCTACTGTCCCCCCCTGCCGTGACGCCAGCGGGGGAGAGGCCCATGGGGGCTGATGGAGAGGAGACCACCCTGCACCCCTGGGGACTGGGGGTGCTTGGCAAGGATTTAACAGCGGGCCTCGCGCCCCCTCCGCACAGTCAAGGAAATGGGCAGTGTCCCCATGCCCTTTGGTAAACCCACACCGGGGCCTGGGCCCCACAAAGGGCAAGGAGAGAGGAGCCGGAGGAGGGGGGGAAGGGCAGCAGGGCGAGCAGTGGCAGGGAGGGGGCGGGGCAG